CTGTAAAATAAAAGTAGGAAAAGGTAGGTATAAATATCAGTTGGTTACAGTTTCTTGAGTTTCAAATATTTGTAAAACGGAATACCTTTTGGTTTTGAGACAAATTAAGCTATTTTAAAGCGTTTATTTTAGAGCTTGTGTGTGTGTGTGTGATGGGCTGCTGATACACCACCAGGTCTTGTGGAAAATAAACATTTCCACCCCACCTTTCTTCCTCTTGTGTAGTTTCAGCACCTGCAGTCCATGCTGTCAGAGACTGATCCCCAAATGGCAGACATGGTGAGGAAACAGTTTCCTGTCTGAGGCGCCCAGCAGATCAGTGTTCAGCACTCATCCAGACTCTCACCACTGCTTTTTATAGTGGCCTCTATTTCCCCTCCAAAGATCCTGCTTCAGGTCATACTATTTGGATTTCCACTGGAAAGAACGAGGATGTCACACCATCATGAGTGTGACAAAGACTGGATAATTCTGTTCATATTTTCAACCAAACTTGAGGAAATTCTGCAGACTTCAATTGTGTTTGTTTTTAGTTTTTTTTATTGTTCTGTGAATGCTATTTTTGTATTAATAATAAACAGTCTTTTATTAAAAAGAGCTTTCTTCCAAGAATTTGTGCTTAGAAGCTTTTACTGAATCAATCATACAGAATCAGTTATTGATATTATTGACTGGATGCAGAGCAGAAAAATCATGTTTGGCATTTAGGTTAATATTTTTTTAAATAAAGGTTAGTACAATGCAGCGAAAAAAATGTTTATTTCAGGAACAAAAAGGATAAATAACATATACACAATGAAATTAAGGGAAAGCATATCAGTGTCTATTTTAATATTGGACCAAAAAGCGGTCCTTAAAGTCTTACTCTGAGCCTTACTGCAGTATGATAATCTGTCTATCTATATAATACAGTTTGTACAGTCTTACCTTTTGCCTCAGACAAAAAGCATCTTTAAAATCTTTTTACAAAACACATATTAATGAACCTATTATTTATTCATTTTATTTATCAAAGTCGGAGCATTTTGTATGAATGCTGCAAGTTGATATCAAAAGAAGATTTTTTTTATCTAACAGCAAATTGTTTGCCTATTAATGCTTTAAGCATCAACTACGTCCATCACAATATATATTATTATTGGTCATGAGTCACTTTTCCAAGCATATGAGTAATGGTACTAATGCTGATGACAACATCAAGTGTTTACCAGAGGGTGACAGTCACTCGGTAACGACAATAAAATTAGATGAAAGGCTTGAGCCTGGCAACAATGAACTCATTTGGTTTCCAAATGCGCCATTTCGCCCACTCATGGAGAAGAGCAGGACAACCTGCGCATTTCCAGCAAGCTCTACGAAGGCTCTGTGAATATAGCAGCTTTTTAATTAAAGCTTGGATTGATATGTAGAACACTCTTTCTAATGGAAATCCCGAGATGGTTAGAGTGTACGCAAGACAGAGATTACCCTATGGGGAAAAACCCCCCCTGTCTTTTTAATCCTGCTATCTCCAGACACAAGCTTGACTATGATGCACATAGGTGGCCGGTGCCTTGATCTGCGAGTCATGTCCGCTTTGTGTTGTAAATGGCTAGAAAGATGGAGACGTAATCATGCTTGGCCTTTCAAGATTGCTTGTGGCCAGTGACTTGCACTTTGCTGGGTGCTCTGTCTTCAGGCCTTGCTCCCAGGCTTTTCATGTCACAGAGATCTGGGTGAAGCCCAGATGTTCGCTGCTGACCTGCCAAACTTCATTGTCAGTCTGCCAGTATTCACAGCAGCTTGATATGATCTGACTCCACGCACACGACACAGCAGGCCGTACCTCGTGTGGCCGGGGCTTCATACACATCAGTGACGCAGAGGCATGTCGGGCCTGTCTGATGCTGATGCTGGATGTCAGTTACGCCTTTTTCTGTTTACCTCGGCCCACACAACTCGCTGTTCTTTTAAATGACCTGACATTTTGCCTTACAGTGAAATGTGTTCTATTTTTGCCTTGCATTTATGAGAAAATTCACATCTGTTCTTACGTAACCTGGAAAGAATATAACACTACTTTTTACTACACCCATGAACTTGGTACATATGTTGATTTTGAACATTTTGCTAAGGTTCATCAAGAGATATTGGAGATAATAAACAGCTCTTCTGTACCAAGAAATATATTTTAAACCTGTGATCAAGTTGGACCAAAAGGCATTTTCCGTGCATACTCCAGTGAAAGGGATTAGGAGGGTGAGTTGAAGTGCCCTCTTATGATGGAAGACATCATATGTTTTGCTTTGAAATCTTCTTGTGTTATGTTCCAAGATGTGGACCGATGTGTCCAGGATGATAAAAAAAAATAATGTATGTGATGTAAAGAAAATGTATAATTTTATCAAAGCTGCATCGTCTAAATGAAGGCCTCTGGAGCGTGAAATGGCTCTGATGCTGGTGTAGTACCTGTTGCTGTGAGAGCAGGAGGGATAATGAAGGGATGAAGAATGCGTGTGCAGTGTCACGTTCCCTCTCCTTTGATTCCAAGGCCCGGCCTATTCACAACCACCTGGTCAAGGCGTGTTAATAAAGACACATGATGCTATTGGGTGCAATCAAAGCCCCCTTCAGCTCATTTCCTGAGTTCCCTGGCTTTCTATCTCTTGTCAACAGAATCACAATGAAACTTTCCTCTTCGCGTTCCCTGAATATCAAAGACACTGACGTTTCCTGCCCGCAAAAAGTGATGTGGTGACGTTGATGTTTGCGTTTGCCTGAACTGCTGGTTCTGCTTCTTCAACCACCATATCTAGGATACTGTAATAATAAGCTAGACAGCAAGGATGCTATGCATTGTGCAGCCTTGTATTTATCTCATGTATGCAGAGGTAGAAAGGTTGTCTATCACCCAGAATCATCTTCTATCAGACACACTCAGTGTCATATTTAACATCTTAAAATCAATAATGTTGATTAAAAACTGGAATACTAATGTTTATATACAAATAATAAACAGTGTGGCGAAGGCTGCTTAACTAACTATTAAATTATAGATTATTATAAATATAAATTATAGTATTAAATGTATTAGTTTGTGAGTAAGTGTGATATTAAGATGATTTAATGTGATAATATTTGTAAGTGTGAATGTACATTAATGTCTTTTATATGTGAATGTATCCATGTTCAACCTACAACATTTATTATCCTAAGAGTGAATGAAGGCATTCAATTGCTTCCTTTAGTTAGTGAGAGATTGTAAAAACTATGTGGTGACCGACATGAAACTGTTATACAAACAATTATACTGAATTATTAATTATGTATTACTGCTGTGTAAAATAACAGCCTTTATTTTGTATTGTGTATTTATATACTTCTTGCATAATATGCAAACGCACTAATTTATAATCCATATGCACGATACTTTAATTGACCCTTGTTTAATCTCTATCACTTTTTTTTTTTACATGTAGCGTTTCTATTTTGAATGTGGCAGGTGTTTATGGGTGCAGCTCTATCCTGCCCTGTCCTTGTGTACGCTGACGCCTGTCACCAAGTGGCATATGCTGCTGTTTGTTCGGCAATGAAAGAATTGGAGCTAATTAAAGGGATGTAGTCCTGCCACAGGAAGTGTACATAGGCAGACCATTCACTGTTCTGATTAGTTAGTTGTTCAAACAAGGCTCAGGATAAGGTGAAAGACTGGAATTCTATTGATGAAGTGCTATTACCTTGAATTCTCTGGAAATTCAAATAACACCGCTGTTATAATCAGGAGTCGAAAGGGAGACTGAACAACCCACTCAAGTAGAACCACTGAGACTTTAGTGTAATCTGTTAAAAAAAAAAAACAGATCCCACTATTTCTTTTGTTATTTCTATTGCAAAAAAACAACCACCACAGACAGATTCTCTCTAAATTACTATATAAATTAATTTGTGGATTCATGAGTATGTTAACTGTAATACTCGCATAGCTTTGATGCTTAATTTCCCTGTATTTGATTTCCAATTCTACAAAATCTGCACTCTGCAGTAGATAAGATTACAATTAAAGTAATATCACTAAATTAGTGTTTAAATATTTATAGTTTCATGTTATATTTGTTTAGTTTTGGCTAATTTAAATGTTTTGCATGTGAAGTCCATTCCTGTGCATTCATGCAGTTAATCTAATTAAATTGATGAATTGTTTTTCAACTGGTGGCCTTTTAATTTTTATTTATTTAAGCTTTTTTTTATGTTTTTCTAATCTGTATGACCTCTTGGTGTGTTCCCTGTGCTGCTGTAACACTTCATTTCCCTGTTTTAAGATGTGTAATCTTATAATAAAAGTGAAATGACCAAGTTTGACACAAATATATGATTACAGTAGCCAGTGTGAATGTAATTCATTACTTTATTCCTGGAAGTTTAATACATGTACAACAGGTGGCGGTGGCATCTATCTTTGAAACCCTATTAAAAAAACACTGTGACCTCTGATCTAAGAATATCATTTATTATTGTTGTATTTTAGTATTATCTATCTCTATTATCTCTCTGTATTCCAAATGGACAGTGAGATGTAATGCAGTTTTAATGGCTTGTGTTGGGCAGTTTCTTAGTACCATGGGTGAGATTAGCCAGAGAGATGTCTTTCAGCTTGATGCTCAGACACTGTGAGTAAATCCCTCTGATTGAAGTGAACAGAACTGGGACAGACTGGCCATGGTATAGCTCTCACGAACACAGACATGTCTGCCATCTACCCCTCACAGACCTCCAGAGAGAGATCAGAAATAAGAGCTTGTGCAGTAATAACACTTGAATAAATGAATGACAAACTCTTTAAAATGTTATTTGAGCATTAAAGACAGTTTGGGCACCGGGGATTACCTAGCAGTCCCTCAGCTGCCTTTCTATGCCTGGTTTCCAAAAATGGTTGTGAATTTCATGAATGAGAAGTGTGAGTGTTTTCTCATTATCTGACTGCAACAGAGCATGAAGAGCGCCACGAGGAGCCACAAGAAATCAATACTGAATACTACTGTGGTCCATTTCTTGCTATAACTAAGGCAGTAGAAAGTTTACAAAAAATGTATGTATGCATTTTGATGAATATACAAAAGTATTTGAAGAAAATTACTAAATTAAATTAAATTAAATTAGTATGTCTTGCACATTTTGCAGGATATAATGTGGTAAAATATTTCCATTATAGTTTAGAATGACTGCTGGTGGCGAGAATGACTTGAAAATGTTGTGTTAATGCTGAACTGTTGCAACATGTTTTCTCATCCTTGAAGCAAATTATCCAGAGACCACTATCCACATAAGGTAAGTGGATCAACGTAAGATTAAACCACAATGCGTCATCTTGTTCCTGCTGCTCTTTCTGAAAGCATCTCAAGGCACCTACAATATGTCAATTAACCTCTAAATGGCAGAAATGGCACGAGACACGTCACATTATCAGAGTCAGTACAATATATGATATTAGAATCATCAGTAAAAAAGAAACATTTGTAAACTGGATTCATCTTGAAATCTGACATTAAATGACTCTGACATTAAATGAAGGAGATCGGACCCAGGAGCCGTCAAGACACGAGAAGATCAAAGACATAACC